TCAAAAATGGGTATATTGATTTTGTCATTTCGTTTGTAACACATCGAAATATTGATCATAGACCCACAAAAGTATATATATTCTGGGCCCTTATTAAATTCCAAGACGAGCTAGCCATGTCTGTCCATCCGTCTGTCTGTTGAAAGCACGATAGAGTCCGAACGGAAAGAGCTAGATGGTTGAAATTTTCTACAAAAATTTCTTACAGGTAAGGTTAGTTTGGTATTGAAAATGGTCAATATCAGTCCACGTTTTCGCATAGCCCCCATACAAGTGGCCCCTCGAAAAACTGCTTTAACAGTCATAATTGTTTTACAGATGTGAGTATAGCTATGAAATTCGACGTAAATCAGTTTCATATGATCCAAATTCTCTTTACCAAATTTTATGAAAATGACTTTAATGCCCATTACTGGCTTAAAAATGTAAGCACAAATCTATTCTCTACTGAAATTTATGAGTATCAGTCCAATATTGATCCTACCCCCCATATAAGATACCCAAAAATGACTTTAACGCACATTAGTTTTACCGGTTTTTTACCGGTATCTCAAGATGTTAGAGGTGTTTGGGAAATTTCAAAAACAGTTCTACTCCGATCCACCTTTCAGAAAAATAGTATCACTTCCCAGGTATTTGTTTTTGTCGCATAGTGTTATTTATTGTAATTTTAAAGATTTGTCAATTTAAAATTTTTATAGTATGAGTAATATTTTTGCTTAAATTAATCATTCGTTCAATTTTTATGCTGTAAATATGTATTTTTTTTTGTATAACTTACCCAGTATACAATTTTTTGAGACATTTTTTGAGTCAGAAATTTTCTGAAATAATTCTTATACTTTATCAGAATTTTTAACGAATTTCTAAATTTCCTTTAGACATTTTACAGAATAATCGGCAAACTGTTTGTTAGACTTTTCTGCACATTTTCTGAAGTATTAAACGATTGACATCAGACTTGTCTGCACATTGTCGAAAGAGAATTTCAGTGTTACGACAATTATGAGACTAATCTGCACATTGGCGGAGGACAATTTGTTTTTTTATTCCTATATTATTTTTTAGACATAAAGGAGAATAGTCTACATTTTCTGAAGTAAAATATAAAATAGCTTGAGAATTATATCCGATAAATCTGCACATAATCTGAAGAGAATTGTTTTGTAACTTCGTCAGACAATTAAGCGAATAATATAAATTTCCTTTAGAAATTTAACAGAATAGTCTTCACATTTTCTGATATTTTTTGCTCGGTCTGAAGGAAATTTTGTTTTTTTTAAATTTATATTTTGAAATTCGTACTTTAAAAGGGAATTTAATTTTTTTCTCAGTTGGTCTTTAGAAATCAAGTAAACCAGATCTTAATATGTGATTATTATTGCTTAAATTTCTTTAAACTTTGTTAATACACAAAAATAAGGAAAAAATTACATAATTTTTTATGGATTAATTTTATAATTTTAAATAGATGTATATAATGAACTTTATTTTTGTATATAATATGTAAATAGTATGGTTTAATTTTATTAATTTTAAAAATTTTAATAATAATGGAAGCTTATAAATTATTATTAAAATTAATAAAATTAAACCATAATTAATTATAAATATGAAAATAGTTTTCATCAGACTTTGATCAGAATAGTCAGGCCATATTCTTATACTTGATCAGACTTTTGTACGAACTGTCGGACATTTTATCAGACATTTATCCGACATCTATCAGACTTTCTTATATTTGATCAGACTTTCGTACGAAATGTCGAAAGAATGTCAGACAGACATTAAGACATTTGTCCGACTTCAATCAGATTTGTCAAAATTTCCTTCAGAATTTCCCCAGGAATTTACATCAGATTTCGTACCGAATTCTGACCGACAACTCTGCACATTTTTTCCGAATTTCCTCAGACGAAGAGTTACACTTTAAAAACACTATTTTAAATTTATTATTGACGAAACGTATAAAATTTTAATTTTCAATATATCAATATTTGAAAAATGAAATACACTCCTCGCCACTTGAATAGCACTTATGTATATCATTTTTTTTTAAAGCTTATATTTTTGGATCAGGAATATCTAGAAACTTGTTTTTTCCCCTCATTATAATATTTTTTGTTCGAGAGGGCCAAAATGTTGAATTGTTGAGCTGGCCTCCATATTCACCAGACTTAAACATTATAGAAAACTTGTGGGAACAGGTTGCCCGAAAAGTTTATGAGTCTGGAAAACAGTATTAAACAATTCCTGAAGTAATCTATGCAATTAAAGAAGTCTGGAGCTCAGTACAACTGGCCAAGCTATATGAATCACTTCCAAACAGGATTTGTGAAATGTTAGTCAACCGAGGAGCTTCAACACGTTACTAAATAGCTTAGTTTAATTTATATCGTTATAAATAATCTAAATCAATAAGTTTTAATTACAAAAGTTGCTATAAAATCACATTTTCTGGGAGATGTTCTATTCAAGTGGCGGATTTTTAACAGTAGCTTTTTCGGTTAATTTACAATAAAAAATTATATAAAATCAAATATTACAGATAGGACAACCATTCATATCACATTTTATTCAGAACAAAAAATATTATAATGAGGGGAAAAAACAAGTTTCTAGAAATTCCTGATCCAAAAATATAAGCTTTAAAAAACAAATTGATGTATGTGCTATTCAAGTGGGGAGGAGTGTAATTCTTTCATCAATATAAGACTAAATACAAAAAACATACACTCGTAAACAAATATTAGTAATTTAGTTCGTTAATGAATATTACAAATTTTATTATTTTTTTTTATTTTTTTACTTTTTATTTAATACATATTTAACTTATTTAATAATAAATAATCTTTTTCTCTTTTCATTTTACTATCTTATAAATTTTACTTTTGTGTGACAATTCTTTGTCAAGACTGAGCCCGGCGGATACAGAACATAGCCAATTTCCACATAAAAACAGGGCTTTAAGGTGGAATTCGTTACAGTGTGCCAATTTTCATTAAGCTATCTAATAAAATTCCCCAGTTTGCTCATTTTTATGCCCACCATCAACACAGCGAAATTTTGGTCTAAGACCCATAAAAGTACATATTCTGGGTCCTTATTAGATTCTAAGACGACCTAGACATGTCCGTCCGTCTGTCTGTTGAAAACACGATAGAGTCCAAACGGGACGAGCTAGAGATCTGAAATTTTGTACAAATTATTTTAGATGATGCAGTTTGTTTAGTATTGAAAATGGACAATATCGGTTCGCGATTTCACATAGCCCCCATTTAAGGTCCTCTTCAGAAATATCCTCTAAGGCAGATAACTGGCTTAAAAAAGCATGTATAAAATGAAACTCTACTCAAACAGGTTTTATTAGAACCAAATATACCAGTACAGCAACGAAATTCCACATAAGCAAGTTTTATGGGAACTAAGATCTCCCCGCTTACTTTTATAGGGATCGGTCGCGCTCAGAAAATGACTTTAACACTAATAACTTGCTTTAAAATGTTAGTATAGCAACAAAATTCTACATAAACAAATTTTATGGGAACCAAAATCTCCTCACTTAATTTTATAAGAAGCGGACAATAATTAACCCTACCCCCATATAAGGTCCCTTCAAAAAATTACTATAACGCTCATAACTTGCTTCAAAATACCAGTATAGTAACGAAATTCGACATATATGTATGTACATTAGGGTGGGTCGAAAAAAAAGTTGAGTCAGTCACCCCTTACGATTAAAGATATGTTAATAACATTTCCGAAAATATAAAAAATATTTTTTTGCCACGCCTAGAAATACCGCCCTTTTTGTTTTTTATATATTACGCCGCCATTTTAAGTCCGATCATAACATATCATATATCAATATTTATGGTTTGACTTTAGCTATATTTCACTCTTATACAATTTTTTATTTCGACGTCATATTCTTTGCGCGACTTCTGATATCTCGGATCCTTCCCCAAAATCTAAAATTGTGGCTATACTGGAATAAAGTACATTTAATTACATAGAATATAGGCTTTTAAAATGCTCACTTTTATGCATAAAGAGCTATTTTACAGGTATTTAAAAATTCCTGTGTAGTTCAAAATACAAATAATTAATTTGCTAGGGATATGGTCGAAAACAATTTTTTTAAATTAATTTACAATACAAAAATTGCATCCTACCCCTATCTAAACAAAAGAAATATCATTTTATTCAGCATTTAATTCTATTAATTAATAACAAAATCACGTAGGTACATAAAAATTAAACATTTTATTTTATAAAAATCGATGAAAAATTAAAGTGTTATGCTAAGTTTTACAAAAATGTTTTTCATGTTTTTTTCCATACAACTACTTGCATGTTTCTTTTTTTAACAATTTTTAAAAATGTTTATACTAATTTTTATAAAATGTGATAAATTTATTTTATGATTCTTTTAAATAGTTACATATTTTTAAAGAAGTTCTTTAAATAATAAAAACTAATAAAAAACGAATAATCGGGAATGGCCGGCCATATGATACCAGATATGAGCATAACTAAAATATGATTTATTTTTATACCCTACGCCACTTTAGTGGGGAGGGTATATTGGGTTTGTGCTGATGTTTGTAACGCACAATAATATTGGACCTATACCCATCTTAAAGTATACCAATCGGCTTAGAATAATTTTCTGAGTCGATTTAGCTATTTCCGTCCGTCTGTCCGTCCATGTAAACCTTGTAATCAAACTACAGGTCGCAATTTTAAAGATAATTCAATGAAATTTGGCACACGATCTTCTATGACATCGGTCCATTATTTCACCTAGCCCCCATACAACTGAACACGCCGAATAGGGCTCTTAAGTTCATAATTATGTTTAATATACTCGTATCTCGACAAAAACCTACAAAACCAAGTTCTATACTAGCCTTGATGACCAACATGAATTTTATAGTTATAGGGTCTCATTTGACCATAACCCCTATACAAAGCCCCCGGTCCTCGTGGCACTCGACCTATCAAAAGCGTTTGATACGGTCAATCACGCCATTCTCTTCAGAGACATTTTAACATCTGGTCTCTCTGACAACACCAAGAGATGGCTAGTGAACTACATGTGTGGTCGACAGTCATTTGTGGAGTTTAGGAACCAGAGATCTAAATCTCGTAGAATTAAACAGGGAGTACCCCAAGGTGGAGTTCTTTCGCCGATCCTGTTTAATTTCTACATGTCTAAACTCCCAACACCCCCGGACGGCGTCCAAATAATATCTTACGCCGATGACTGCTCGATATTGGCCACGGGCAATAGTATTGATGACCTTTGCGGCTTGATAAACAGTTACCTATGTGATCTTTCCAGCTTCTTCCATTTAAGGAATTTAAAAATATCGCCTACGAAATCCTCAGCAACTCTCTTCACCACCTGGACTAAGGAAGTAGGGCTAGAACTGGATGTGACAGTCGATGGCGAAAAAATTCCGACGGTAAATCACCCCAAAATACTTGGTGTCACATTCGATAGCCTCCTTATGTCCTCAGCGCACACCACTGCAATCTGCAACAAGATGCGAAGTAGAAACAAGGTACTCAAGTCTCTAGCCGGCAGCACTTGGGGAATGGATAAAGAAACCTTGTTGACTACCTACCAAACGATTGGCCGGTCAGTGGTAAACTACGCAGCGCCAGTGTGGACACCTAGAGTTAGCGACACGCAATGGAAGAAGCTTCAAAGCTGTCAAAACGCAGCCCTAAGAACGGTGACAGGCTGCATTCAAATGACATGCGAAGAACATCTGCATGACGAAACGAAGATGCTTTCAGTTAAGGAACATAACATCATGCTGTCAAAGCAGTTCCTACTGGGATGTCATCGGAGGGGCCACCCTAACCACCATTTAACGGAGTTAGAACCCCCCCCGAGGCATGTCAGGAAAGATCTTCGTATGTATGAGAGTGACATCCAAGAACACCTGGATGATATAGAGGACGAAAGCTCATACAGGACAGCTTTGAATACTATCCATCAACAGGCGGTGGAAGACTCCATCAATTCCCACCGAGATAGTATAATACTGGGAGGCCGTCCCCCACCCGTTGCAAACGAGGAACGAAACCTACCACGTCGTACTAGAGTGGTTTTGGCACAACTAAGATCCGGATGGTGTACCCGTTTAAACTCGTACTGGTCGAGAATAAACGACACCATTCAAGATCTTTGTCCTGCATGTGGAACAGGCCCACACAATGTTCAACACCTTTTTAACTGCATGGCAAATCCAACTCAGTTGGAACCTGAATCCCTTTGGACTCAGCCGTTGGATGCGGCTCGTCTACTGGGTTTAGATCTAACGGAGTTGGATAACCAGAGCGAAGAAGAAGAAGAGTAGGGAATAATGTTTAAATATATATACGTGTAATTTCAGGTGTCGCTGCTACAACAACAACAAAGCCCCCTTCAAAATTTGACTTAATTGTCCACAATTTTATTCAACAATAAATGACTTAAGTATATCCGAGGCAAGGTACAATTCATCTTATATGCTTTATTATGAAAACTAAATCACATTTTATTTTTGTAACAGGTGTAGGGTGTTATATGGTCGGCCTCTCCCCACTATAATTTCTTACTTGTTTAATATAGCATTTATATTGAATTTTGTCTTAATTTCCATATCGTCACCTGCAGAGTAGGGAGTAGTGCATTAAATATTTAGTGCACTAAGGTTTCCACTAAATCCCACTATAGTGACGAAATTTTGATTTTCCACTATTTTTTATCACTATAGTGGTAGTGAAACATATTTTAACTACCACTAAGAAAATTAGTGGTAGTGAAACATATTTTAACTACCACTAAAAAAAATAGTGGTAGTGAAAATTTTTCCACTACCACTAACCATTAGTGGTAGTGAAAATTTTACACTACAATTAAATAGTGCAAATATTTAAGTCACTACATGAATGCTTTAATATGCACTAAAATCTCAAAAAAATGTGTTTATAAAAATATTCCAAAAATACTTAAAATATATTTTTTATATTTTGACATTTTCTTTTGTTCCATTGCCATCTTCTGCTCCAGTAGAGCGACTCTTTTCTTTAAGTGGAATGGTCGACGCTCCACGCAGAAATAAATTAAGTGACTCTAATTTTGAAAAATTAGTTTTGATGAAGGCAAATAATTTCTAAGGATTTTATGTACCAATATGTATTTAATTTAATTTGTTATATTAATATATTGATGAAACTTCCGTATTTTTTTGTATTACTATTTCCTTTTGTCTTTTAATTTTGTTACTACTTTTATATTAGTATTAATTAATTAATGTAATAAAGAGTATAAATTAATTCAATATAATGATATGTATTTAAGTTCCATTAACATTAGTGAATGATTATATTTTTCCACTATCCTATTAGTGGAGAAAAAAAAATTGCACTAAGCTGTAAAAAAAGGGTTTTCACTAAATTAATTTTAGTGAAAAACTTTCTTGTACCACTACCACTATTGCTTAGTGAGGCTGTAATTTTTCAACTCACCACTAAATATCTATTAGTGATAGTGAAAAATTTTGCACTATCACTAACATTTAGTGGAAACTGCAAATTTAGTGCACTACCCCCAACTCTGGTCACCTGAAACGCAAACGGCCATAACTAACCAAACTTTTCAATTTCAGTAGTTTTTTGCTCCTCTTGTAAACGCAAACGGCCCTAGCGTTTTAGGTGACGATATACTATTTGAGCAACTTATCGATGAAAAACTGATTTTTTGAAAGAGACTATATATGGGAGCTAGGATCAATTATGGACCGATCCTATAAAAATTTTGTGGAATGTTTTATGTTCTTATAAGAGATAGATATGCAGAATTACATCCTAATTGTAGTGTTTAAGAGAGAATTAACGACCTTGAAGCCATTATTAAGAGCTCCAAAGCAGTATTCGAGGAGTACGGTTGTATGAGGGCTAGGGGAATAATGGACCGATTTAATCCATTTTCAAACAACTTCGTCCTTGGGTAAAATTAAATATATCAGCCTATTTGCATCGCATTATCTGGAAAATTTCGACTTGTAGTTTGATTACAAGTCGGATGGACAAAGTTAAACCACTATAGTGCTGTAGGTTATAATACACTTTCCTCTTTTTTGATAGGAAGTAGGATCTGGAAGGGTTTGTAACTGAAAAAATAACATTTTTATAATTCATTTTCAAAAAAAAATGTTTTCGACGGTTTTTCCTGGAAAATTAATTATTTGTTGTGAGAAAGGTTGATAATGAATATATGAACATTTTTAAATATCTATAAAATAGCTATTTATGCATAAAAGTGAGCATTTCTAAAGCCTATATTTCATATAACTAAAAGCTCTTTATTATTGTATAGCCACAATTTCAGATTTTGGGGAAGGATCCGAGATATTAGAAGTCGGGCATAAAATGTTACGTCTAATTTAAAAATCGTCTAAGGGTGAAATGTAGCTACAGCCAAGCCATAAATATTGATATATCAAATGTGACGATCGGACTTAAAATGACGACGTAATATATAAAAAACAAAAAGGGCGGTATTTCTAGGCGTGGCAAAAAAATAATTTTTATATTTTTGGAAAAGTTATTAACATATCTTTAATCCTAGGGGGTGACTGACACAACTTTTTTTTTGTCCATAGAGACCGACCCACTCTAATGTACATGCATGGTTTATAGAAAAAATTATTATAATGATCATAGCATGCTTCAAACTGCCAGTAAAGCAACAAAATTCGACATAGACAAGTTTTATCTCTGTCAAATTTTATGAGGATCGGTCAATAATTGACTCTACCCACATATGAGATCTTCTTCAGAAAATAATTTCAAACCTCCAAAACTGCCTTAAAATATGTATATTTTTGCCACCACCACGTGATTTTTTTAGATCATTTGGAATCCAAAACATCACGCACCAATACCAATTTATTAAATAAACCAACTTTTTGTTCGATTTTACATTAATCCATTCGTAATGGATCTATACAATGCCAAATCTTATATACCCACCATCTATCTATTATTCCAAGTGTTCGAAATGCCACGCCCACTTACTAAATAACTATTAAAAGTAGTATTTCTCGGAAACTGGTACGACTAGAGTCCTCAAATTTTGCACGAACAACTTTGACATTTTTATGAATACTGGAGGGGAAAATGGGCGGACTAACATTAGTGGGTCTGACACATCCCACGCCTATATTGCCAGCCAATATCAAATGACGTAAATGGAAAACTATAACAGCTTCAGTTCCCAAATATTGTACGATTTGATATCAATATGAACACTTAAAACAAATATAGGCGGACTAGAAAAAGGGGCGTGGTACCTCCCATACGAATTAAATTAAAAAATTGTATATCGGGGAAACTATTGGAGCTAGAATGCTCTAATTTTGCACGAACAATTTTGACATTCGTATGAACAATTGTCTAATAAATTGGTGGATTACGGGAGCGTGGTCCATATAAATTAAATACAAAAAAAGCGTATATCTGGGAAACCGGACTTGCAATGGGGGCATGGCACCTCCAATATGAATTAAATAAAAGAAATATCAAAGAGATTTTGCATTGTTTAAATTTATTTGTTTTGAGTTTCATCGGTATACTCGCATTTTTAAGCCAGTAATGCGCGTACAAGTCATTTTCTAAAGGGTCAATTATGGACCGATCCTGAAAAAAATTGTTTGAGAGATTTTTACTCGTGAGAAAGTTTCTTATGTCATTTCATCGCTATGCTCGTAATTTTTAACCAGTAATGAGCGTTAGTCATTTTCTGAATGGGACCTTATATGTGGGGTTGGGTCAATTATGGACCGATATTCATAAAATTTGGTATAGAGCTTCTGGCTCATATGAAACCTATTTATGCCGAATTTCATTGCTATAATCTAATTTTTATAACAGTTATGACTGTTAAAACTGTTTTTCTGGGGCCACTTGTATGGCTATGCGAAAACGTAGACCAATATTTTCTATTTTCAATACCAAACAAACCTTACCTTTGTGTAAAATTTTAACCCTCTAGCTATTTCTGTTCGTACTCTATCGTGTTTTCAACTGATAGACGGACGGACATGACTAGATCGTCTTTTATGGGTCTATGACCAATACTTCGATGTGTTATAAACGGAATGACAAAAACAATATACCCCCCATCTTTTTTGATGATGGAATTCATGATTGTAGCTTTAAAGGTTTGAGGGATACTTCCCTTATTTAAAATTTTCTTTTGAAGTATGTCCTCAGTTATTATTAATTGTAAAAAGAACTTAACGAAGGAATAAATTGTATGCTTCCTAAATAATTGAAAATATACATAAATATGTATGTATAATGAAAAACTTTATTGCGTTTGGTGTGTGAAATTTTTTAACAGCCGCGAAGAAATAATACAGTGATTTTCCATATATCCAATTCTCATATCAGCAACAAATGTCAATAGTTATATCCCTAATGTACATGTATAGCTATGAAATTCGACATTAACAAGTTTTATAGGAACTAAGATCTCTTAGTCCCCCTCAGAAAAGTACTTTAACATAGATAACAGGCTTAAAAATATATATAACCAAAATATTTGTCAAATCTTTTGAGGATTTGTCCTTATTTGACTCCATTTACCAAAAATAATTATATTCAAGAAATCATTTAAAAATTTTTTATGATAACATACTACTATCAGACTTTAAAAGTCTGTATAAACCATTTTTCTGTTTACTATTGACTATGCAATAAATAATTATTATTTTAATTTTTGAAAGCAACTAAACAAATTTGAAACAATTTTCCTATTTTTCCTGTCTACCCATGGAACTGACGTTTTATATTTGAATATTTATTGTTGAATATTTGTAAACTATTTCAACAGAAAAACTTTCTTGAATATAACTCTTTCTGTTAGTAAAATTTTTCATTTCAAAATATTAAACAGCAGAAAAATAAAAATTTGAAAAAAATGAAACAAAAAATATTTTACTGAAAAATCTTGTTGTGTTGCCGGAAAGTTTTAAAAAATTCAAAATATTTAAAACAGTTGAACTCCAAACAGTTGTACTAACGAAAAAACTTTATTAGTACAACAAATAAAATGATTCAACTTTTACAGCAATCATAATATCAACATTGCCATACCATTTGTAACATATCCAATTATTGATTTGTGGTTTTTCTCTCAGTCCGTTGAAAGTACAATATCGATATGTTTGTTTGGTATTGAAAATCGGCAATAACGGTAATCAACTTTTGAAAACTTTCTAGTTACTCGCAGTTTTTTTTAACAATTTTCATATTTTAATTTTTTGTAGTAAAATTTCTTAAAATTAAAATGTTTGTCTAAAAGCATATG